AAAGCAAGACTCTGAGCTGCACAAACAAAGCACACAAACACGAAAATAAAAATAGAAAACGCCCCGGATTTTTTTTTCCGGGGGTTTTCAGAAAACAAACAAACCAAAAACAAAAGAGTGCAGAAATAAGCTTGGGTTGCCTCCCAAGAAGCGCTATTTTTAACATCATTTGCCCGACGCAACCACCCCACCCCCAGTCACCCAAAATCCACCCCTGACTCAGCCGCAAACTCAGCCTTTCCAAAATCAGAACCAGTTCTGTCAGCCCCAAGTGCAGCCCCAACCACAACCAAATATTAGTCGACCACACCCTATTCGACCACAGCCAGTTCTTCAGCCTAGACAACAGGCTCCTCCATTCCAAAATTATATCCCGCATGACAAACCGCTCTATCAGGGAGAGACCATTGCAGATTTCCTCACTCCGGATATTACAGAGTATGACAGCATTTAAGTGTCGGGAATTACTGCACCCTGCTACGAGATCAAGCCAGCGGTGATCAATATGGTCTTGAATAATCAGTTTGGAGGGAGCCCTACAGAAGATCCAGTGGCACACATTACAAAATTCTTGAGGATGTGCCAGACGTTCAAGATCCCTAGACTAGATGACGATCAGGTACGGATGTTATTGTTCCCTTTCTCATTGAGGGATGATGCGCAGAGGTGTCTGGATAGCAATCCACATCACCTATTTAGACTTGGGATCAGCTGCACAAGACATTCATCAAAGAATATTTTCCGACGTCAAAGGCAATAAAGTTGAAGAAGCAGCTGCAAGACTTCAAACAAGGTTCTTTGGAGACATTGGCTGAAGCGTGGAAGAGGTTTAAGGTGTTGAGAAGAGCTTGCCCTCAAGGCAAGATGAGTGATTGTGAGTGATAGAGTATATGGGCCTGGACCCCATGGCCCACATACTCAACGGCCCAAAAGGCACCAGCGGGACGCCCGCATCGGCCCAGAATCCCGCAACGTCCAAAGGAGAAGACGTCAGTGGCGGATTTGGGGGAAGTTAGGCTAGGCAGCTGCCTTGGGCCTCACATTGGAAGGCCCCCCCCAAAGGTATTAATATAATATTATGTATAATAGTTAATAAGTTAATTAATTATACGGAGTCTTGGTCCACTACTCTACGCTCCAAGCATCGCCAAAGATGGCAATTGCAAAGGCCGCTAATCCCAAGTCGCCGTTGGTCTGTGAGTGTTAGTTAGTCTCTGTGAATTCTCTGACTTCTCTCCCAAATACTGAAACATATACTTCGTATATGTCTTAGTCTTAACTCTAAACATAAGAGGCCTGAAGGAGTAAAAGGCTAAAGCCTAAAGCTGTAAACCGGCCGGACCGCAGACATGCAATTAAGGCAATTCTTCTTTTTACTGTTTGAAGCCAATTCCTAAATTACTATTTAAAAATATTTTTAGGTTAAATTTCTATATTGATATTGATTATTGTACAGAGCATGTATTAGATGTTAATTGATAAATACATGTAATAATTAATTTAATGGTTTTTGTACTACTAAAGTAGTTACTTTGTTTGATTGTCATTGACTTTAGAAATTTAGGTTTTTTCTAATTGATTTGTTTGTAATTTTTGTATTGTCTATCAATTTGTAAGTATTGTCATGATGAGAAAGCAAAATTTTGACTGTACAAAGAGAAAAAATAAGTTGAAGAGAAATTTGGTTATGCAAACGTTTGACGCCTATCAGAATCGGCTTTTGGGGGTAGGCACCTAGGCATGTGCCTAGGGCACCAAAAGCATTAGGGGCACCAATTTTTAAAAAAAAGTATTAATACCATGTAGTATGTATTCCATATCTCTAACAATTTCATTAAACAAATAACAAAAGTATTATTCCACAATGACGTGTGTGGGATGTGTTATGCAACACGTATATGAATTGTTGTATGTAGCATTAGAATTCTAAGAGTGTGTTTGTCATTGATTAAAAAAAAGCTAAAAGAGGTGTTTAGTAATCCCAACTTCTAATTATAAAAAGCACTTTTAATCTAAAAGCTGGAAGCTGCTATCTGGTTGCTTCTAACTGCTTTTAGGTTTTTTTGTAAATACAGCAAACTCTAATGGCATGTATAATGGCAAATTAGTTCATCAAAAACCCAAAATATCCTTGCTTCTTCCGCATCAAATCCCTGTTGTCCCCATCCCTTCTGCGCAAGGGCCATCTCCCGATGGTGAAGCTCGAGCAACAGGACTGCCGGAGATGGAGGAAAAACGGTGGAGCTCTCATCTGCCTGCACTTACTCATGGTAGAAACTCCCCAACCCAACTCCCGATGGTGAAGCTACGAGCAACAGGACTGTCGGTCTGTTGAAGATAGAGGAAAACGATGGAGTTCTCAATTGCTTGCGTCTGTTCATGGTAGAACTTCCGAACCCAAGTTCCAAACTCCCAAGTTTCAAATTCACAGCTAATTGAAGAAGAAAGTGAAGACGGTTGAGGTTTGCAGCTATTATGGAAATCGGAATTGCAGGGGTTGACAATTCCGGTCTTGAAACTTTGGGCGACGGTGACTTTACCGATTACTTGGGCGTTTGTAGTCTTTCAATGCCACAAGGGTATATTTGTAAATTATCAAAATATTACATCTCAAATCACTTTTTTATCAAACACTCCAACTTTTACCTTTCAATAAAAATCACTTCTATTTCCAAACACTAGCTACTTTTACTTTAAATCACTTTTCCAATAATCTCTTAAAAAAATCACTTCTAAAAAGCACAAGCAATTGCAAACACTCCCTAAGGGTTGGTTTGCAATTCCTTTAAAAAAAAGCACTTCTCGGCTTTTGACTTTAAAAAAGCACTTCTCAGCTTTTGACTTTAAAAAAGCACTTATTTTCCCAAACACTACAACTTTTATTTTTCTCGGCTTCCGCGTCAAAAGTGCTTTTACTTTTTCTATTACACAAAAAGCACTTATTTTACCAAACACTACCCACTTTTACTTTTCAAAATCACTTTTTTTTCTCAAACACTATCAACTTTTATTTAATCACTTCTCTCCATTTCATTAAAAAAAGCACTTTTTTAAAGTAGAAGCTGTTGCAAACAGACCCTAAAACTATAATCAAGCTTGAAGCAGTTTAAGTTATCTTAAAATTCAATCATATCTATTTGTTGATATCCAAGACCACAAGAGTAATCTATTTCTCATAAATTTATTTTTAATCTATTTCCATACATACCACCAGTTCATAGGCCAAAGCAAAAATAAAAATTAAACTAGTAAATCGTAAGTTTCTAAGCGTTGCCATACAAATTTAGTGAATTTTCTTTTCATTCATTCAAATACAATTTTAACAAGATTTGCATTTTTATATACTCCGTACAATTCAATTTCGTGCCAAATGAATTTCGTAATATTATATTTGCCATTTGTGTGATAACATATATATTCATACTTGTTCCTTATAATTGTAATTTGATTAAGTTTGTTTTAAGAGTTTTCACTTTTCACCATGAAAAGTTAATAAACAAATAAATCAAATAATACAAGATTTAGGTGCCTTCAAAGAGAAAAACTTATCAGAGAAAAACTTAATAAACAAATGCATCAAATAAGGCAATATTTTGTAGGTTTTACTGCGATTCATTTCAATGGTCTTTGAATTTATGTGTGTTACTACATCATTCTTTTAATTATTTTATTAAATTTATTACCCTAGGTATTTAGTTTTAGTTTTTCGTCTCGGGCATCAAATTTCCTAAAGACAGCCCTAACGCCTCTTTCAATTGAAAAAAAGTGTTAGCTATTCTTGTTTGAAGTAATGTTATTAATGATTTTGCACTTCAAGAGGCAAGAAGAATAGGATAATAGGGTGTTGAAGTCAAGAAGAATAGGATAATAGGGTGTTACAAATACAAGTTCACGGTGTATTTTACATGCATATGTTTGCATTTAAAAACTTATCTTTTTGAGTATTAAAAACATTATATCATACACTTTGAGTATGTTTTTAATATGACGTTTTTATCTAATTTGTCCTATTTTTACATGATTTGCGCATAATAAGTATTTGTGTGTCTGGGGCGGCCTATGAATTGCTAAGACGCCCCTGGCTACTTGTTCTGTTTCTTTGCCAATCGGCTGAAAAAACTTAATCAGGTATGGGGATAACACCTTTTTCTTCACAAAGTCAATAGAATCAACTATATCAAAGAGATAACTGAAACCAAATAAGATAGTTTACAAATCAAGTTAATAGATTGAGGTAAAGTTGAATCATCACTTGATTAGAATGGTTTACATATCAATTTAATACTCTGTAATACTTATTCTATCTCAGATGGTCATCTTTAACTTTTCTAGTAAATGATGATAATTTTTAGGGGTGGGCACGGCCCGGAACGGTCCGATAAATTAGCAAACCCGTAATGTTTCAGTGAGATTTCAAACGGTTCGGTATAGTTCGATTCAAAAGAAGAAACAATTCAATATCATGACATTTCGAAACAGTATAAGACGGTACGATACAATGCTACTATTTTTGAACAAATCTTACAATTATTAAATAACATACTTTATATAAACACAAATAATACATACATACTTGGCTAAAAAAAGTTGGTCTGAATAACAGATTTATTGGTATGGAAAAATATAAAAATCTCAAATACATTATTTTTGAATGGACAAGCAGGGGCGGAGCCAGAGCACTGGGCCGGTACAAAGAATATTTTTAGAAAAAAAATTACACGAAATTTTTTACCTTAAAGATTAAGCTATTTTTAAAATTTGGCGTGGGTCATGGCCTAGGTTGGCCCACCCCTAGCTCCGCCCATGTGGACAAGTCCGGTATTTTTCGGTTCTCAAAATCTAGGACTGGTCTCATAATCGTTTCAAACAGTACGATTTAAATCTATTGAACCATATTTTGTGTCAATCAAGCCAACATGGACAATATGACTCGTTAATCCCCACTTCGTTTTGTATTATAATATAAAATTAATTGCAGGCACCTATGACACACAACTCTCCAAGTATATTAATAAGATAATTAAAAATCAGTATGAAATCAATAAATCACTCCCGAATTTCCTGAATATGACTTTATTGTACGTACTATATATACACTTGCGGAATCAGACTTGGAAAGACATAGAAATTTGAAAATTACCAAGTTGCACGAAATTCCATTAATCTTTAACCATTAATCCATCTTAATAAAATATGAAAGTTGTTAATCATAAGATGTAGTTGAGTATTTGAGCATAGAGGAGTTCATTCCAGACATCTGGCACTCCAGGAAGGCACCAATGAATACAATCTGCATACGATGTGGGCTTTTCTATTTGTTCTTCTGTCAAAGAATCCCATTGTTTTCTATAAATTGAGGGATGCCCTTCTTTCCTATACTCTGATAGTTGAGTTATGTTAATCAATCCCACATTTAATCCTCTATTTTTCAGCTCTTCAATGGTTGCTTCAACTAATCTCATCATTTTGGGATCTGATCCATTTCCTTGATATCCCTCATTCTCTATGGGCTCTGTCTCCCCATAGCAATTATCCCCTACCTTTTTACCCCATTCTTCTGCCCTGCAATGTTAGTTTTGAGCATTTCAACATTTATTGCACATAATGAAAATTGCCTCTTTTACTTTTCTAGTTTTGATGAGAAATATATTGATTTGAACATTTCAACATATATTGCACATCTGATCTTGAAATTTCGCAAATCTACAATCATTACTAATTCTTGACCAAATCTACAATCATTACTAATTACTTTACTAATTAATAATAAACAAAAGAGACACATCAAATTAATGCAAAAAAAAGAGACACATCAAATTAAATATACATGGTGCCGATTTGTCCCAAAAAAGACACATAAAAAATAACAGGGAACCATACTATTACATTCCCCTACTTTAAAAACATGCAATCAAATTTTTGAACTTTGAAAAATTGTTTAATTGGTCCAATTAGCAGGTTATCGGCTCAGTCAGCGGTTTACCTGCTGACATGGGACACACGTGGTGGTCCAGTAGACAAACCAGCAGTTAAAAGCTGACGTGGCACACACGTGGATCTATGGGTAACTTGCTGACTGGGCGTGTAAGCCGTTAATTAGCTCAATTGAACATTTTTTCAAAGTTTGGGGATTTAATGAAGTTCTTTTAAAGTACGGGGATGTAATAGTACATGAACCCATTTGATACTTTTCCAAATATAATACCACATATAATATTTCAAAAGTTACTCTCAAGTTTGATTTGGAATGTTTACTAAGAAAGTGAAATTATATAGTGTAACTGATATAAAGAGGGGGGATTAATGTTAAGCACGCGTATCTAATTTCCTTGATAGAAAATGAGAAAATTTGAATACCACAATGGATAATCATCTTGTGGTTTAATTAATGGCATCACTGTGACGCTCTCTAGAAGAAGGTCACAGGTTCAAAACGCATCTCAATCAAGAATGTTGACATTTAACATTGAAGTATTGAACAGATATTACAAGAGAGTAGAAAGTCCAGCCAAAAAACAATGAAATCTAAGCGGGTACGCCTTAACAGGTACTAAAACAAAGTATTTGCAAAAATATGATGTTTATTAATAAGGTTGGGTAGACTATTATTGTGTGTACCTTTCATGAATGGGTGACATGCTTATAAAAAAGATTTGGGTTTTAGATCGGTTGATGTGAATTTCAAGCCAATCGGACCACGTTTTCAAGGCCATCTCGTAACTGCGAACCATATCCACATTTTTGTAGACTCCGTCTCTATCACCAACTGAAGCCCACCTGCACCCCCAATAGTTCACAAGCTTAATATTTGAACTTAAAATTAATAAAACTTCATAAATGACCAAAGTTATTATGAGAGCATCACTATAGTCACTTCAGTATGAATATAACCACTTTAGTGTAAACTTGAATGATAATCCATAATGTTATACTCCGTACTATCGTATATATTATTAAGGTCAGTAAATTATTTAAAGTCATATTTTTTTCTATTATTTTTACTATAAACATATTCGTTAGAGTAATCGCTCTAAACTTTTTCAGTTTTGTTTTCTTTAACAGTATGTACCATTTTACGTTACATTTAGGTCCTTTTTATCACTCACTTTAATAAGTGTATTCTCTTTATTTGGGGTATCAACATAATTCTACAAAACGGGTCTTTTTGATAATTCTTTAGAATAAATTGCAATTTTGATCTTACGTGATTATATCAATCCCACATTTACTTCATGCTTTTCCATTTGTCCATTTTTTATCCATGAATATCGTTACTTAGCTTACTCACATGCGATTCTTTTGTTTATTGTTGTGGTTAACTCACTTTAGAGGTTTCAGAAATTTGGATGAAAGGATCACGAATGTCCAAAAAAATAATCATGTAATTAAAATTTGTTAAAGTCAAAAGATAAGGATCAAATATGGGATTTTCGTACATATTGAGGGATGCATCAAAGAATTTAGATTAATATATTGGGCTGGACTAATATTATTTTCCAACAACAATTTTAGTCAAACAAGTATTGGAAAAATTCATTCTTTATTTACTCACAAGACTTTGATATGGGGTTGCCTCCACCAGAGGTAAGTATTGAAGACTAGATAATCAGCATCAGTCCACCTCCGGCCGTGCTTTACGATTGAACTGGCTCTCACGATCCGCTCCGGCAGGCGGTGATGCACCGGATCATCGGAATTAGACTCTACCAGCAATGGTGACCAGTAGAACTCAATCGTGGCATTATATTCCTACAATAATATACAAACACATAATTAGAAATGGATTAAGATACTACGTATATGAAGTAGAGTAATCCTGAAGCAAATAAATATTACTCCTTATATATTCCCTCCGGTTTTTAATAAACTTCACACTTTCCTTTTTGGGACGGTCTAAAATAAACTTCACACTTCCTTATTTCCTTTTTTGGCAAAGAAATCTACATCAAAACAGTGTCAAATAGTGTCTGAACAGTGCCAAATAGTGTCTCTACAGTGCCAAACAGTGTCAAACAGTGTCTCAACAGTGTACTCTACAGTAAAGTCGAATTTCTTTCCTTATTTTGTGTGAAGTCAAAGTGTGAAGATTAAATAAAACCGGAGGGAGTATTATATTCAGAAAATTAAAATACTATAGCTACCCCATTTGTACTCACCCCTATTATATTGTGTGACTTAAATGGAGCAATTCATTTAAGGGAGACAACTCATTTAAATGATTGACTCATTTGAACCACACAAGAGTGTGGTACAAATGGGGTACACCAAGCAAGGCTCTGAATTATACGAAGTATTCATTATAAAAGCATGTATCTGAGAGGTATTATCGTATATGGAAATGATTTAGTGCAAAATGTTACAAATTTAGCTTCACCGTGCAAAGAACGGACTAGTACATTTCTAGACCAAACTAGACTTAAATAGACCAAGGTAAATTAGACCAAATTTAAAAAAATGCAAATAAACTTAGAATACACATCTAGTAGACTATGTCAGATCAGACCAGATCAAACAAGAATAACTATAGACTAGGCCAGATCAAACCCGATCCAAAAATTATAATTCAATTAAAAACATTCTTAATACAAACGGCTTATTACACCGTAACATCCGGGCATTAAACATATAAATTGTCTTCATCTAATGAAATTAACCAAAAGTAGATTTATGTACGACTTACTTTAGCTTTGAAAATGATCAAGGAGGCATTGTACTTGTAGTCCATGGATTTGAGAGATGGTGGGATGGCAGAATCAACAAGACATACCATGGAAACCCATTGTCCTCTATTCAAAGAATCGCCAACAAACACAAGCCTCTTATTCCTTAGTTTCTCAAGCAAAGCTATGGCATTGAACCTACCTTAGATAATGCATGTGCACTAACATATATCAACATCAAAACATTCACTTCACCCCACCTCAAATCGATCACTACACACAAAACGAAAACCGATAATTCCAAATTCATAATTACTCCGCCTATTAAACACATACAAAACAACAAAATAAAAAAGAGATGGATCTAAATAGAAGTAAAACATAGACAAAAACGTAGTGGTAGTTATGTTTTATTCCTAAAATTAGATTTATTCAGTTTTATAACTTCCCCAATTTACATACTCTCGGTTAATTAACTGTCTGGTCGGTTCTGGAGACCTGATGCTGGAGACCTATGGGGATTCATCCTTTTAAGATAGTAAAATTTTGCAGCTTAAATTTGTTTAGGTGGGGAAGGGGGCAATATGTTTCTAAACACATAATCCTTTATTTAAAAAAAGAAATAAATAAAAGTACGAGCTGAGAAAGATTGTATATATAAGAAAATTGAAATGGATAGGAGTAAGAGAAATTGTACATATTGCAGTCCTACTTGAAAATTCTATCTTTGGCCGAAAATCTCATGCAAAACCCGGGTTTTCCAATGTTCTCTTTGCCAAAATGGTACATTTAATGAATTTTTTTAATGTGGATAAAATTATTAGTTATAGGCACCATTTGCAAGTCTCTTAAATTATACTACCTCCGTTCTTAGATAAGTGCAACATGTTGAATTTTACACTATTCCCACGTTCTACTTTAACTACAGTTTATTTATTGATGTATTAATATATATTTTTGAAAAAAAATATTAGTATCAAATTTGTCTCATTATTGTAAATTTTCAAAATATGATTATTACTTTTTTTACTAGTAGAGAATTCTATATATTCATGGTCAAAGTTATGACTCGGTAAATGTGAAATGTTGACTGTTGCACTTATTTAAGAACGGAGGAAGAATATACTACGTATGACTAATTGACTATATATATATATATGAGTAATTATTAAGTCGAACCTTGGAATATCGCATTGATAGGGTTGCCACCTCAAATGTTGATAGTCCAAATCTTTTCTTCCAAACTTTTGGCAAGCCAATTGATCGGACATGAATGTGCATTCTTGCTCCTTGTACAATGGGTAGTGTGACTTGTTGTCATATACCCATTTTCCCGAATACAAATCACACTTTGACAATGGTGGCGGCGGGTCATCGGCAATGACCCTTTCGGGGCTGTTGCCGCTAAAGAAGAAATCTCTAGCCTCCAGGCCAGTGAGGTGAACAACTCCGAGTACGAGGGCGGCGACGAGGAAGGCTCCGAGGGAGTAGAACAAGCCCCTAATATCCCATAGTCTGGAAGAAAGGTTTCTTGTCACAGGAACAATGGGAAGAGATGTTGATAGTAATGCGTATGTTTTCGCCATGATGGGGATTTATTTGTTATTGGGGGTAGTAATAAAAATAAGAATAACAATTCTTCCTCTACGTACGGACTATTAGTCTATAAGTACTGTTGTCACAATATATACCTACCGAGTATATTTCATATTGCTAAGATGACATTTTTGTCAAAGAAAATAATCTTTTCACTTGTATGGAGTATGTTTTTGACATTTCTTGAGTCAATGTCTCAACAAAATGCCGATCAAGATAATACATTTCTTTGCAATCGAGATGACATAATTATCGTTTGATGAAGACATTATGAATGGATAATGAAATTCTAATGTTCTAATCATGATATTCTTTTTTGATCTTGAGTTCTTTTTGGGGATAACAGTAGGAGTTTGAATCAAATGCAAAAATGGTACCTTAACTATTGGTATTGTTACGTTTTGATACCTTAACTCTTAAGTGTATCAAATCAGTATCATAACTATATATAAATATTTCAACTTGAAATTTTATTGAAATTTGCGCAAAAAAAACCATCATGACGATCAAAATTTCATGTGCAGAGTCACCCTATCATGATCATATGGACCAAAATAAGGTGAAGTGGACTGGCTTTATGCATAAAATTCCGGCTATCAAGTGTAATTTTTTGGTTGGACATTTGAATAATATTGTAAGTTGAAACATTTATGTATAGTTAAGGTACGACTGTTTTGTTTCATTTAAGAGTTAAGGTATCAAAATGCAACAATACCAATAGTTAAGGTATCATTTATATAAGTCAATTTACTATTTCTGTGAATATGGTTATTTTTAGTTTTTTTTACATTCAATCTCACTTTCACTCTGACTACATGATACTACTCAAAAGCCGTGCTCTTTTTTCACCATGTTTTAGTCTTATTTAAATCATTATCTCGGATTATTAAAGTTAGGTGTACGTGCTACCAAAGCTAGGTTTTGTACGTAGGAGCGTAAAAAGCTAGGTTGTTAAAATGGTATTCTCTTTGTTATCACGATAAAAGGGTTGGAGGTGGGTTTAGTGAAGCCTCAACCCGTCCATCAAGCCGATCATTCCGTCCTCTTAAAGTTTACTCAAAAGACAAATAAACCTTGTACACATGATGCCATATTGGGTGAGTGAGATGATACATATATAGACCATTACGCATAGGGATGGACCCGGGCCGGGCCGGTTCCGGTTCCGGGCCGGGCCCGGGCGGGCTTTTTTTGGGGATTGTTGGGCCCGGAACCGGCCCGGGGTGATACCGGGTCCGGTTCGTGCCGGGTCGACCCGGTCGGGTCCGGGCCGGGCCGGGCCGGGCCCGGGCTTTAATTTTTTTTTTTTTTTTTTTTGATACCAAAATTAAATTAATATTACTTGGACATAAAAAAGGGTAAAACATATTTATTTGATATTTGTAGTACAATTGAAAATTGAGTAAAAATAAAAACATGAAATACACTTTATAATAAGTAATGAAGTATGAATCAATTAGAATTTCCTCCATCTTCAGTTGTTTCTTCCATAAAGTGGCGAGTGGGTTCAATGCTTATTTCTTGAGTTCTACGTTTGGCCTTCAACCAATCGTGGAAGCAAACAAGCGTCTCAAGAGAGTTTGCGCTTAATCTCGTTCTATAATCCGTTAGGACGTTGCCGGCCGCACTAAACTCTTGTTCCACAGCAACTGTTGATACCGGCATTGCTAGCACTTGCTTAGCCATCTTTGATAAGATCGGGAACGTTCTCTCTTTTTCCTTCCACCACTGAAGAACGTCAAAGTCATCCCCTTCTTCATAATCAACAGGAAATGTTAGATACAAAGAAAGCTCGTTGATCGAGCTTTGTTCATTAACCGGAGTTGATTTACTTTTTTTCATAAGATTGCCAAATGCAGATTTGAAAATTGATTTTCCTTTAGATGAAGAAGATGTTCGTGGCGGGGGAGGGGGTGCGTTACCATATTGTGCATGAAACTCATTAAATAATTGATATAATAAATTACTAACCTCTTGGAATTGTTGTTTAGGGTCTATGGCCTTGTCGTCGTACATAGGCAATGGACCAAAAAAAGAAGCATAATAGTAATCTAAACATTTCTCCAAAGAATAAAGTCTAAAACGAGGATCAAGAACAAATGCAATACCATATATATGCGGAATATAGGAATAATATTTTAAAAACTTTTGTTTCATGAAGTCACAAAAATAACTAACGTAAGCGGCGTCAGAGAATTCAGAAAAAGCGCCGGCGAGATTAACAGCTTCAACAAAAAATTGGTTTGCGGTAGGTTTATAAACATGACTAAAAGTTTCAGTGGCATTATTAAAAAACACCAAAACATTCACAATTTTTTCACAAGTGTCGATATCGGCCGGGTTTATAATATAGTTAGCATATTCTCTTAAAAAAGCGGGAAAATGGTTTTTATATCTAATAAGCACTTTAATTAAATTATAAGTACTATTCCAACGAATAGACAAATCTTTAGGAAAAGCACAATATTTGACACGTCTTTCTTTCAAATAATTTCTCCATTGCATCTTAAGTGGATTACTAGCCCAAATCAGTTTAATCCCCCCCTTGACCACCTCCAAAGCATCTCCCAACGCCGCAAGACCGTCCTTTACACATAAATTTAAAATATGACATGCACAACGCTGATGAAAAAACCTACCCATCAAAGAAGATGAACCACACAATTCACGCAATCTAGGAATAGCCGCAGTATTATTAGTAGCATTATCAAAACCAATAGCAAACACCTTATCAATCAAATTATACTCAACTAAAATACGCTCAATGAGAATATAAATATTATCGCCGGTGTGTCGATCATTAAATTCACGAAAAGCAAGAACACGTTTATGCATACACCAATCATCATCAATATAATGTGCAGTCAAACCCAAATAATATAAATGATGATGAGTATCCTCCCATATATCACTACATATGCTAACACGGCCATCAAAGTTTGCGAAAAATATTTGTAATTTTTCCTTTTCCAAAACATATTGCCTTATAACTTCTTTTTTAATTGTTTTGCGACTATAGTTTCGAAATTGAGGATTTAAAGTACCTTGAGCATATTCTTTTAAAGCAAGACTTTCGGAAAAAATAAAAGGCAAATTTTCTTCAACAATCAAATGTGACATACCAGTCAAATGTCTTTGATCATCATAGGAGAAATTACCGAAGGGTTGGCCACTTCCAAATCTTGAAATTTGTGTTTGCTTTCCCTTGCCTTTGTCTGATTTCGCATATTCCGCCGGGTGCTTGGCCTTAAGATGCCTTGTGGCGCTCCCGTACCCTCCAGAAGTTCCCAAGTTATACTTCTTTGGGCAATGCTTGCAAGTGGCGTACCATATCTCGGTTTGGGGGTCTTTAAATTTTGTAAAATTTGCCTTAAAGACTGATTCAGCTTTCTCACCGCCTTGGGAAGAAGTAGCCACTTCCGCTTGCTCTTCATCATCGTACGGTGTGCCATGAACCTCGTGCTCGACCGTTTGCGGATCCCTCTCCTCCGCATCATCATCCTCGAGCTCTTCTTCGTCAATGGTCGGGATGTTTTGTTGATGGAAGAAGGCCCCTTGATTTTGTTGTAATAGTTGTTCTACTTGCTCATCGGACATCGCAGACCCATATCTTTGGTTATAATCCGCATCAAAATCATCTCGGGTTTGAGATGAAGCCCCGGCCCGTCCCTTACCTTTCTGCAAGCTTGGATGATTCCTCGCAATCTCCTTTGTTCGGTTGCGGCGGAGGTTACCCATATCTACTGAAGCTCTACCACGTTCCATCTTAAAAATATAACAAATATTAAATTCGAAGTACAATTAAACTAGTGAATTTCAAATACAAATCTAACAAATCGAACTACAATGTAACAATTAAATTCGAACAATTAAATTGACTAGAATGTAACAATTAAAATGTACCAATTAAATTAACTTTTATTATAAAATTTGAACAACTTCAATATAAATAACAATTAACTAGTTCAATAGGAGAAATTTTAACTAGACATTAAATGTAACAATGCAATGAAATTTAGAGGAGAATAATAAATGTAACAATGAATTAACTATTTTGATAGGAGAAATTTAACTACTTTTATATTAAGTGTATAAGTAGATAAAGTAAATATATATATTTAAAAGTAGATAATAAGTAGATTAACTAGTAATATATAATATTATGTTTATAGTATATATAATATAAATATATGACTATAAGATGAGGAATACACTTAATATATTAAGTAGATAAATTTTCGAACAACTATAATATAATTAACAATTAACTAGTTTGATAGGAGAATAATAAATGTAACAATTAACTAGTATTAGAGGAGATTAAGAAATGTAACAATTAACTAGTTTAACAAGTAAACAATTAATTTCGAATTCTTGTCTAACAAATTTTAATGTAACTATTTCCAATAAACTAACAACTACCAATTAACCACTTATATAGCAATGAACTAATACTAAAAGTCTAAAATGATAAGTGAAACAATTAACAACTTTTAATTTAATGAAGAATGTATTAGTGTGTAAACAAAATTAATGGGAATGTTTGATAGGAGAATAATAAATGTAACAATTAACTAGTATTAGAGGAGATTAAGAAATGTAACAATTAACTAGTTTAACAAGTAAACAATTAATTTCGAATTCTTGTCTAACAATTTTTAATGTAACTATTTCCAATAAACTAACAACTACCAATTAACCACTTTTATAGCAATGAACTAATACTAAAAGTCTAAAATGATAAGTGAAACAATTAACAACTTTTATATTAATGAAGAATGTATTAGTGTGTAAACAAAATTAATAAGTAGATAATATTATGTTGATAGTATATATAATATAAGATGACTAACAAGATGACTAACACACTTATATATGTAGTAAATATATATTTATAAGTAGATAATAAGTAGATAATATTATGTTAATATTACTACAAGATGACTAACACACTTATATATTATACTTTAATATATAAGTATATTACTATAAGTTGAGTAATACACTTATATATTA